ATGAGGCTCCTTTCTCTCGGGCCCTCACGGCGCCCACTCCGCTTGAGGCACAGTGTGCTGAGAAGGTGGGGCAGCTCTCTCAGGTGATTTCTCGGCCTGTCACACCACATTACTGTGTTTATTATGGTCTAAGCCTGCAATGCTGTACCACCTGACGTCCCCGATAAAGTGTCTGTGGGGGAACAATTCATGACAAACGCCGGGACTGCGCCCGGGAGGGGTCATCCTCGAGCCGTGGCTCAGAACCGGGTCCCAAGCCCTCTCCGGGCGGAGTCTTCAGCCCCAACCCGGACGCATTCGCCGGGCGTCTCACAGGCTCTCCCCAGCCAGACAAGTCCAGGCTTCCCACGTTCTCACGCTCACACCCACTGGCCTGTGTTTCACAGCGCGGGGCATGTGGCTGGTCTTCATAGCTCCGTTCAATAAAAACAGCTGTGCCCGGCTGGCGTGGCTCAGCGGCTGAGAGAAACCCCTGCACCAGAGTCCTGGGTTCGATCCCAGTCGGGGACGTGCAGGAGGCAGCCAACTGATGTTTCTCTCTCTCTCCTCTGCCTTCCCCTCTCTGAAAACAATTAAAACATTAAAAAAAAAGAAAAAAGCTTTTATCTTGATGGTTTCAAACTTGATGGAATGAGAAAAAGGGTGAGAATGGAATGTCCAATCACAAGAACGGCTTTGTCCTCAAAAGGGAGTCTGGATGCATTTAGTCCTCATGACGGCAGAACCCCTGGCCGAGACCTGCCGTTGGCCATAACCACAGGCCTCCCATTCATCAGTCCTGGGTTCGATCATCCCAGTCGACGTGCAGGAGGCAGCCAACTGATGTTTCTCTCTCTCTCCTCTGCCTTCCCCTCTCTGAAAACAATTAAAACATTAAAAAAAAAAGAAAAAAGCTTTTATCTTGATGGTTTCAAACTTGATGGAATGAGAAAAAGGGTGAGAATGGAATGTCCAATCACAAGAACGGCTTTGTCCTCAAAAGGGAGTCTGGATGCATTTAGTCCTCATGACGGCAGAACCCCTGGCCGAGACCTGCCGTTGGCCATAACCACAGGCCTCCCATTCATCTGGCACAAGGAAACCTACAGCCGGTAATTCACAACCTAGACTGACACGTTAGAGCCAGGATGGGGGCCCAGAGCGGGAACATTATTACAGCTGCCTGCAGACCTGCTGCGCACAGGCTCCCGCAAATTCAAGCATAAATCAGTTTTACAATCAAATAGTACAAAGGCAGGAAGGTAAACCTGTGAACCGGAAGGCTCCAGAGAACCTTCTAAGGCAAACCACCATCCCAAACGCCTGTGCCCGACCCTGTGTTGAGAGCGAGTGTTCCCGCGGCCCGCGCTCAGCCCCCGGGAAGGAAGCTGCCTCCAGCTCAGTTTGGGGGTCAATAAAGTTTACCAACTATCGGACAAGGGGGTGGTTTGAGGATCGGAGCAATTGTATGGCTCATGGACGTGACAACAGGTACAAACAGGGAGAGGGCGAGGGCCACCCACCGGACGCTGAGAACTCCGCGCTCACGTCGGACGCTGACACAGAAACCCGGGTCCCCGTGCCCCTGCGGAGGCCACTCCCCAGCCTCTCTACCATAGGGGTAACCTGAGAGCTTCCACCGACCCCCAAGGAGCTCCTTCGAGGATGTGCCCAGGAGAGCCACTGCCTCCAATTACGCCCCGGGTGGGGCCCAGGCAGAGCTGCCAGCTCCGGGAAATCAGAGGCTGTGGAGAGACGGGGGGCGTGCACGCAGCACCTGGGACCCCAACCATCCACGGTATCTACCTGCACTGGCCAGGGCGCGGACCTGCAGTGCCTCCGTGGGGATCATGTGCCGAAACCGGAAGGGGTCCCACTCCTCGTAGATGGAGAGCCTGTGGGATCCGACCTGCAGGAGGGAGGGGCAGCGCGTGAGGACCGGCTCCAGACTGGACTGGACCCCCCTCTCCAGACCCTGACCCCCTGGCACCCACCGCAGAGAGCGAGGGGCACAAACAACTCTGCCAGCCAAGCCCGGGAACCGGGGACCCAGCACAGAGGAGGAAGGGCCCCAACAGGAACAGAGGGACAGGGGGACAGGGGGACAGGGAGGGGACAGTGTGGGAGACTCGGATCACGGCAGGCGGGCACTGCCCTGAGTCCTTAGCAACATTAAACAAAAAGAAAGAGGGAAAAGCAGCGAGTCCTAGGAGGCTCCCGCCGGGCCAAGGGCAGAACCCCTCTCGCACGGAGGAGCCCACAGCTGCGGGGGAGCAGGCGTCTCTTACGAGTTTCCTCTTCTGCTTGGAGCCGTCCTTGTACACGAGGACCACGGCCGTTTTGAAGACTGAAAAGAAGACGAAAGAGGGCAGTTACGGAGGGCGGGCGTGGGTTTCCCGTCGGCTTCCTACTCGTGACGAACATGACGGTTAGGACGGCGAGACCCCAAGGCCCCCACCTTCCCTCCTCCTCACGTCCCAGACACTCACACGCCTGCCGAGACAAAGCCCCCGGAGCCCAAACCAACCCGGGGCCCCAGCGGATGGAAAGGCCCACCCCGCCTGATGGAAGCTCCTGGGGAAATAGGGTATTTAACCGGGGCATCATTTCTAACCGACAGCTGAGGCCACATTTAACAACAATGGAGTGGGTGGGCGGCTGGAAGAGGATATAAACGCCTTTAATGATAATGATTAATAATAATAATAATAATAATAATAATGATGCAGCCGCTAGGAGACTCACACTTACGCCCATCAGGCTGATGCACTCAGAGTGCGCGTGATCGGGAGAATCAGCTCTCTTATCGGCCGTGGAAATTAGCTGAGGAAGCGGAATGCAATCCCACGTCCCCCAGCGCCGGCCTCAGGGCAGGGGGTCTGGGGGTCCCACGCTCCCCAAGGGGTGGAGGGCCAGGGGAGCCAGGCACCGTCACCCATCACGTTCCTCCAGCCACGCCCGCAGGTCCCCACTCAGTGACCACGCAGCCGCTAGGAGACTCACACTTACGCCCATCAGGCTGATGCACTCAGAGTGCGCGTGATCGGGAGAATCAGCTCTCTTATCGGCCGTGGAAATTAGCTGAGGAAGCGGAATGCAATCCCACGTCCCCCAGCGCCGGCCTCAGGGCAGGGGGTCTGGGGGTCCCACGCTCCCCAAGGGGTGGAGGGCCAGGGGAGCCAGGCATAATAATAATAATGATGATGATGCAGCCGCTAAGGAGACTCACACTTACGCCCATCGGGCTGATGCACTCAGAGTGCGCGTGATCGGGAGAATCAGCTCTCTTATCGGCCGTGGAAATTAGCTTAGGAAGCGGAGTGCAATCCCACGTCCTCCAGCGCCGGCCTCAGGGCAGGGGGCCCGGGGGTCCACGCTCCCCAAGGGGTGGAGACACAGAACCTCAGCGGGAGCGGCGTCCGGAGTTCTCAGGCCTGAGCCCGAGCACCTGGCTCATCTCCTCTCCCCGTCACATGGGCCAGTCTCCATCCAAATCTCCACGGGAGGAAAACACGCCTTAAAGCGCAAAGAAACTGCCCCCAGCCCGAGCCTGGGCTGCCCCCACCCTTCCCACCTCACAGCACAGGCTCCTCCAGGATCCCAGATGGCAGACCGGGGCTCCCTCCCCGAGGCTCCCACCCCCGAGGCGGCATGCAGCTCGGCAGGGACTGAGTGCCGGCCCGATGCCCGACCTTCCACCGGCCTTGGTCTCAGGGACCCATCACGTTACTGCAGCCACACCACAACGGCACGCTGCCACGGCTCTAAGGCTGCTGGCCTGCCTCAGTTTACCTCAGCCGTGCGGGCTCACAGGACGTGTGGGCAAGCGTGACCCCCTCCTGGGCTGCGAACACCTCCTTCCGCCTCCCCGACTCCCGCCCTGACACTCAGGCTGCTCTCACTCCCTGGACTGCTCCAAAGGCACGTCTGACACCCTCAGGGCAGAAGCCTAAACAAAGTACTTCCTGCCCGGCTGGCGTGGCTCAGTGGTTGAGCATCAGCCTATGAACCGGGAGGTCACGGTTCAATTCCCGGTCAGGCACATGCCCAGGATGGGGGCTCCATCCCAGTTTGGGGTGTGCAGGAGGCAGCCGATCAATGATCTCTCTCATCATTGATGTTTCTCTCTCCCTCTCCCTTCCTCTTTGAAATCATAAAAATAAAAAAAATTTAAAGAATCATATGGTATAAAAATTATATATTAAAAAAATAAACCAACAAGATCATCCCCAAGAAGCTGAAGAACCTGGGAGCACCCCAACAGAGGGAATATTAGTTACCGAGTTGGGCTCAGATTTAGCTGTGTTCCAGTATGCCCCATTGCACTGTCTCTCTGCAAAGATGACCTTCAGAATTCACTACTCCCTAGCCCAGTGATGGCGAACCTATGACACGTGTGTCAGAGGTGACATGCGAACTCATTTTTTTGGTTGATTTTTCTTTGTTAAATGGCATTTAAATATCCTATATAATAAAAGGCTAATATGCAAATAGACCGAATGGCGGAACAACCAGAACAACTGGACAACCGGTCACTATTACATGCGCTGACCACCAGGGGGGTGTGCACGGAACATGGCGGGTGTTAGCTGCAGTGGGATGGTGGAGCAGGTGAGTGGAGGCGCCAGACCAAGGCGGGGCACCAGTCACTGTCATCGGGGCAAGCCTCTGGTGGTTATTGAAAATTCTTTGCTCCCCCGCATGCCACAATCCCACCTGGCACTCACACCTGCTACTGGTGCCGGCCCCACTCACAGCCGCAGCCAGCACTGGGCACCGGTCGGTGGAGAAGCCCTGAGGGGTGGTTGGGGCCAGCAGCCACCACTTGCACCCACTGATGGCACCAAGCGATCGGGACTGGTGCCGCCGAGTGCCAGCAGTGGGTATGAGTGGGGCTGGCGCCGTCAGCATGTGGAACCGGCAGCAGTGGGAGCAGGGCTGCTGGCAGAGAGGGGACCGGGAGTCATGATGGGAGGGGCCGGGCGGAGGGCC